TTAAGAAAAAAGAATGACACGGCGCCTGGGTGGCTCAGTCGTTAAGCGTCTGCCTTCGGCTCAGGTCATGATCCCAGGGTCCCGGGATCGAGTCCCACATCAGGCTCCCTGCTCGGCAGGAAGCCTGCTTCTCCCTCTCCCCATCCCGCTGCTTGTGTTCCTGCTCTTGCTATCTCTGTCTCTGTCAAATGAATAAATAAAATCTTTAAAAAGAAAAAAGAAAAAAGAATGACAACAAACAAATCAGGCATGCAACTGAGGAGTCTTGGAAGAACACCTAGGCTGTTCTGGATTCTGCTCTCCACACGGGCCTCCAGGAGGGAGGGTTGCTGGGTTGGTGTTTGATTCCTTCTCTGCCCTGTTCTAGGGCAGAGAGTAATGCCTGGCACACTGTAGACCAGAAGTACTTGTCGACCGAATAAATGAATGAATTTCCTAGGAAAATCCAAATGACCAAACCTAACCTCAAAAGAAAGGAAGAAATCAGAACAGCCAGTGACACACATCCAGAAGCCAGTGCTGGGAGAGAGCCCGAGGCTCAGGAACGGGCAAGGTGGACACACTCAAGCCACTTCAGTGGGGCACAGTGGTCCCTCGGCGTGTCTGCCGAAGGACCAGTGGCCCTCGCAACCAGAGGAGGTCTTCTTTTCTTTTTTTTTTAAGATTTATTTATTTATTTGAGACAGAGAAAGGGGCAGAGAGAGAGAGAATCTCAAGCAGACTCCTGCTTAGCGCGAAGTCCGACGCGGGGCCCTATCCCATGGCCCCAAGATCGTGACCTAAACCGAAACCAAGAGTCAGATACGCAACCAGCTGAGCCACCCAGGTGCCCTGAGAGGGTCTTCTTAATGCCAAAAGTTTCAAAGAAATAAGCGTGCAGGAGAGAAATAATCTTATTTGTAGAGACTTTTGAAATAGTCATAAAGAACGACAGTTCTGTTAACTGAGAACTGCAGATTAAACTCAAACTGGGAAGGCTGATTTCTCCTGCCCGGTACAGTGAGAGTGTGTGTGAAGGCATCTGAAGTCTCATTTACACTATTTCAAATTCAAACAATGCTGGAGAAACATCCATAACAAAAATTACAATCATAATTAGAATAATGTATACAATATTCAAATATGCAACAAATCTATAAAATGTAACTATAAGATGGCTTTGTGCTAAAATGTGTCACTGTTAAAATGCGGTGTCTCTGTGCCTAATTTGGGACCAGTCAATCCAATTACCACCTGACCATGGTTACTGGACGTCCTGTAAAACAACTCTCCCCCCTTTCAGAAAAGAGCCCTAAAATCCAGCCCAGAAGTGGTAGTATATTCCTTGTATTATTAATGTAAATAGACTCCAGTAATCATCTTGCAAAGCAAGGATGATAGGAACAGCACACCAGGCCGGGATCGTCTAGACCAGTAATACAAACACAGGACAAAAGGACGCAAGACAGGGAACTGGGACACCCAGAGGACAAAGAGCAGTTGTACCAGCACATGGCCAGCAAGCACACCATTCCCCAGGAAATTCGGGATAGGCTTATACAAAAATAAGGTGTTAAGCTTAACTGTCTGGGTGCCTGGGTGGCTCAGTCAGTCAAGCGTCTGCCTTTGGCTCAGGTAATGATCCCTGGGGTCGAGCCCCACATTGGGCTCCTTGTTCAGTGGGGAGCCTGCTTCTCCCTCTGCTGCTCCCCCTGCTTGTGCACTGGTTCTCTCTCTCTGACAAATAAAATAAAAAAAAAAAAAAACTTTATGAACAAGTGGTAAGGAGAAGAAACAGTTTTAAGTTGAATGTGGTGGTTGTCTAGGAAACAGATAAGATGGAAAAGGCGTGTTTAGGGTCTGCGTTCTTAAGCAGATTTTCAGCAATCTGACTACTTAAAAGACTAGTAAGAATTACTTGGATTTTCTTTTTAATTTTAAATATACAAAAATTAAAAAAACTAAAATCATAAACACAAGTCAAAAGTTGCTTCCTATGAGCTAAAAGATGTCAATCACATGATGCCATAATGTCCCATAAACACAAACGTGCTCAGCATTTTTATTTTAATGACCCCTGTATGGTGCTCTTCTGCCTTTTATTTGACATAGAAGGACCTCATTTTACCCTCGAGCCTCATTACCTCAGTCAATGGACAGCAATCAGATCCCCATCTTCTTTTATTTTTTTAAGGATTTTATTTATTAAGAGAGAGAGCACGCATGTGTGCACGCACGCACACACACACACGCACACACACAAGCAGGGGGGAGGGGCAAAGGAAGAGGGAGAAGCAGACTCCCCACTGAGTGAGGAGCCCAATCCAGGGCTCGATCCCAGGACCCTAAGATCATTACCTGAGCCGAAGGCAGATGCTTAACCAACTGAGCCACCCAGGCACCTCCAGATCCCCATCTTCGAAAGTAAAGTGTTCTCCACAGTGATTTGAAAGTCACTGACAACCAAACCTCCACTGTGACTTCCAGTTCTTTTTATGTTTACCGTAGTAACGGTTCTTCGGATTCAAGAATGTCATGGCCCACAAGCTGTCCAAAATAAAGAAGCATAAAAATCTGCTACTTCTTTTAAGATAAAGGAGAAATTCAGATAAAACATTTGATGCCCAAGGCAAGGATCCACTCCTTGATATTAATCCCAGGAAATAACATTTGTTATCTCAAAGATCCAACACTGAAGATCAAAACCTCTGTTATTTCTTAAGTAGATTTCTTAAGCAGATGAAGGAGTGATTAGGTACACTGGAGTCAGATGCACACTTTAGGAAATATGAGGTCAGGGACCCTCAATCTCCCCACAGGGTCCCTCTGCATGTGGCCACACATGCACCTTTTCCAGGAGAAAGCAGTGCAACTTTGCAGTTAAGGGGCTTTGAAGTTGGCTTGAGTTTAAAGCCTCTCTAGGTTAGAATCCCAAGTCTGGCTAGGTGGGCTTGGCCCACAGAACAGCATCTACAAGTAGGAATGAGAGAGAAGTGAAATACAGGCAGTCTTCAGCAGGGTACCCCACACACAAAGACGCTCTAAAAGCAGCCAGTTAAGGCACAATTGTGGGTAATTGAGCCCAAGGTCAAACACTGTTAACACAACTCATTCCTCATAGGACACTTTGATACAGCCTTGTATGGATTTATCTGTAAGAATTTTGTCTTATGATAATAATTAGAACATTTCCTGAATACTTATTATGTGCCAGGCAATGTTCTAAGTGCTTGAATCAAATATATTAACTCATTCAATTTTCCTAAAAGCCATAGGGGATCCAGACTCATTTTCCCATTTTAGTGGCAAGGAAACTGAAGCCCAAGGTTACACAGCTAGTAAGTGCTCGAACCAGGATTTAAAGATTTTATTTATTTACTTATTTATTTATGAGAGAGAGAGAGCACAAGCAATCAGGGGTTAAGGGAAGAGGGAAAGGAGATGGCGAGCGAGAGAGAGAAAATCTCCAACAGACTCCCCGCTGAGCAGGGAGCCCAAGGCAGGGAAAGATCCCATGACCCTGAGAGCATGACCTAAGCCGAAATCAAGAGTTGGATGCTCAACCAACTGAGCCACTGAGACGCCCCTGGAGCCAGGACTTAAACTTCAGGAGTTGTGGTGGTATCCAGGCTTTTAGCAACTAACGCTGCAGCTTCTCTCACTGTAAGCTTCTTTTTTTTTTTTTTAAAGATTTTATTTATTTATTTGAGAGAGAGAGAGAGAGCACATGAGAGGGGGAGGGCCAGAGGGAGAAGCAGACTCCCCGCCCAGCAGGGAGCCCGATGCGGAACTCGATCCCGGGACTCCAGGATCATGACCTTAGCTGGAGGCAGTCACTCAACCAACTGAGCCACCCAGGCGCCCCTCACTGTAAGCTTCTTGAAACCAAAATCATTTCTATTTTTTAGGGGTCTTTTTAAGATTTTTATTTACTTGTTTGAGAGAGAAGAGAGAGAGAGAGAGCATGAGCGGTGGGGAGCAGCAGAGGGTGAGGGAGAAGCAGACTCTCTGCTGAGCAGGGAGCCGGATGCAGGGCTGATCCCAGGACCCTGAGATCAGGACCTGGGCCCAAGGCAGACACTTAACTGACTGGGCCACCCAGGCGCCCCCATAATTTGTATTTTTAACACACATTTGGGGCACACAATTATGTTATCGGGTACTTCATAAGGCAGTGAACTGTGTCTTTTGTCTCTGTATCTGTCCTTAAGTGCCTTAAGGGTCCCAAAAGCCATCTGAAGAGTTTAAACCAATACAGGGCTCTGTTAGGACCTGCACCGTGCAACCTACCTGCCCTTCCAGCTCCCCCGGCCCCTTTCGCCCTCCCCCCCCCCCATCCGTAGACTCCCCTGTGGTCCTGCTAAACTGCATGTGCATTCCGGCTTCACTGCTCACACGGTGGGTGGGGGCCCATCCCTTTCACAGTCATGTGCTGAGCACCTACTACGTGATGGTCACGGTGAACAGGCCCTGCAGAGTACAGGGCGAAGAAAAATAGGACCTGAATGGTAAAGAGGTGGAATCCGAGTAGAGTCTGTGGTTCCACTCACAGGACTGCACCAACGTTCGCGGTTTCTAAGCTTTGATCAGTTTGCCACAGTCACGCGAGACTTCAACATCAGGGAAACTGGGTGTAGGGTACTGGAGAACTTCCCGTTTATCTTTCCGGCCCTTAGGTCCCGATTAAACGACCGTCTCCCCCGCCCAGAAAACCCACAGACGCGGTGCCTGCGTCCCCGGACTGCAGGCTGCAGGAAACCGTACACAGGACGTACACATCGGCCCCCAGCAACACCCAGGGCCGCGGGGAGAGGAGGCGGCCGGGGCTCCCCAGCCCGCGGGTCGTGGGCACCGGCGCTGCGCGCACCCCGCATCACGCAGGACCCGGGGCCTCCCGGACAACCGAGTCCTTTAAAGGCGCACCCGCAGCCCCCCTCCGGCCCTCAGCCGCACAGCGGGGCTGGGGACGCGCCGGCCTCGCTGCGCAAACCGCGCGGCGCCGGGGCCCTCCGGGGACGCACCTGGAACTCCAGCCCATAGATCACCGGAGCGTCGTCCTCCATGCTGCGGCCACTCACACGCCTAAGGCCTGTCCCTAGAGCGACGCGCCTCCGGGTCAGCGCCCACTCATCCCCTCCCGCCCGGGAGCCCCGAACCCGGCGTCTTTAGGCCCACCTCGGCTCCCGTAGGCCTTACTTCCTGTATTTTCCTGATGCGTCATCAAAACGCTCCTCGCCGGCTGCCAATGGATGCGGCGCCGGGCTCGTGCGCATGCTCACCTGACTCCATACGGGTTCTCACCCGTACTGGCCGCAGGAGGAGGACCCGAGCCGGGGGCGCCTGGCCCGGAGCCAAGTCTGCAGGGGTGGAGGAGGGGCTGGGCGGTGGGGCATGGACTGGGGAGGCGGGTGGCGGGCGTCACTCCGATGTCACCTGCCTGGAGCCCTCCCTGCTCCGTTATCGCAGGGAGAATCACTCACCTGGATCTGTGACGTGTGGTTTGTTATGGTTAGTGCTTAGCGGGGCGCGGGGACAAACGCTTTGCAGGCGCTGTCTTGAAGTTCTTCGCGCTAACCCCGCGCCTAAGGTAGCATGCTTCCATCTTAAGAGATGAGAGGCTGCAAAATTGACTAACAGTTCAGCGCACCGAGGTAATGAGGTGGGGAGCTAGGATGTGTGCCTGGTCTGTGGACTCACTAAGGTCAGGGGCCACGCTCATTCAGGCGGCAGGCAGCCAACACTATGGGGGGGCGGGGGGGAGGGATGCCTGGCGCCACACCTCTGGCAGCATCTGACCAGCATTTGACTCTGAATGGGAACCTGCTGGGAAGAGCCTGGGTTCCCTGGAGATGTCCAAGGGTGACGGTGGAGGACACTACTTAGTTCCCCCTGACTGTGCTGGCCTTGACCATGTCCTTAACAGACAGAAAGGAAACTGCATGGAATCCCAAAATGCCATAGCAGAACCCCCTTCACTAAGCTGGGTTCCTCTGCTTTCCAAGACCACACACCTCTCCAACTGTGTGATTATTTTTTTCTCTCAACCCTTAATCCATCTTCATGACAAATGGCAAGTCCTGGAACAGGTATATGAAAAGATGCCCAACATCTCTGATCAACAGGGAAATGCAAATAAAAACTACAATGAGATACCACCTCACACCTGTAAGGATTGCCGGTATCAAAAAGTCAAAAGACAGCAAGTGTTGGCAGGAAGTGGAGAAAAGGGAACCCTTATACGCTGTTGGTGGGCATGTAAACTGGTGCAGCCACTGTGGAAAACAGTATGGAGCTTCCTCAAAAAGTTAAAAACGGAAGTACCATATGTTCCAGCAATCCCACTTCCGGGAGTCAGAGGAAATAAAATCACCATGTCAAACAGACATCTGCACACTCGTGTTCATTGCAGCCTATTCACAGCAACCAAGACATGGAAACAACCTAAGTGTCCATAGACAGATGAATGGATAAACAAAATGTGGCACACATGGGTGCCCCCCCCCACACACACACACAATGGAATGTTATTTAGCCTTAAGAAGGAAATCCTGTCATTTGCTAAACGAATGAATCTGAGGACATTCTGTTAAGTGAAATAAGCCAAACACAGAAAGACAAATATTGCATGAGTACACCTACATGGGAAATACGAAAACAAAACAAAACAAAACTTTGAACTCATTGTAGAAATAGAGTGGTGCTTACCAGAGGCTGAGGGGTAAGGGGAAAGGAGAGAGTGATCAAAGGATACAACTTTTTAATTATAATGCAAATGAGTTCTGGAGACTTGATGTACAGAAAGATGACTACAGTTAGTAAGATACCCTATACTTGAAACTTTTGAGAGTAGATCTCAAGGGTTTTCATCACACACCCACAAAAAAAGGTAACAGATTGGGATGATGGATGTGTTAATTTGATCAATTGTGGTACTCATTTCACGATGTATACAGGTGTCAAGACATTACATTGTACACACTGAATATATACTATATTGTCAAAAAAAAAATATGGGGCGCCTGGGTGGCTCAGTCGTTAAGCGTCTGCCTTCAGCTCAGGTCATGATCCTGGGGTCCTGGGATCGAGCCCCACATCAGGCTCCCTGATCAGCAGGCAGTCTGCTTCTCCCTCTCCCACTCCCCCTGCTTGCCTGCTTGTGTTCCCTCTCTCGCTGGGTCTCTCTCTCTCTCTGTCAAATAAATAAATCTTTTAAAAAAATTAAAAAATGTAATCACTTATGAAGACAGAAATGGTTTTTCTCTGTTGTATCCTAATGCCCAGTGCGCTGCCAGGCACAGTTAATATTCAACAGATATCCCTCAAACGAATAAAGAGCCCTCAGGCATTCCAGTACAAAAAACCAAGGAGGCAGAGGCGCAGACTGGAGCGCCCCGTTCACCGTCTCCGATTGCCTGAGAAAGCAGTCTCCATTCCCCGCCCACCACAGCACCTGGGTGAGCAGGCCCCGCCCACCGCAGCACGAACCGGAAGTGGCTGGGAGGCCCTCCCTGCACGAGGCCTGCGCGAAAGCCGCACGGACTGAGGGCGCGCGCAGGCGCAAAAGCCGGAGGCCTGCGCGAAAGCAGCACGGACGGAGAGCGCGCGCAGGCGCAAAAGCCGGAGGAGGCGCCGGCTCCAGTCCCTCCTTCCGGTCTCCGTCCCCTTTCTCCCCGCGCTCTGGTCGCGGCAGCGGGTGACCGCCTCCCCAACCCAGGGGCAGGGGGCAGGTGAGACTCGGGGCCTGGAATGTGGGGAGGGGGTCAGGTGGTCCGTAGCCGCAGCCCCGCCGGCCCTGACCCCAGCCGCGCGGGAGGCTTGTCCGCGGGAGGTGCACCCCCTCGGTGGCTTGTCGCCGGGCCGCCCCTCCCGGGGAGGGAGGGTCTCTTCACCGGTGTCTGCTGCCGGAGCTCCCTTCCGGGGTCTCCCGGCCCGGCCCCCGCCTTGTGGGGCTCCTCCGCGGGGGGCTGCTCGTGACGTCTCGTCCGGGAGGTCTCCTCCAGGTCCCAGCTGTGGCGCTCAGTGAGCAGCTTGGCCTGAGCAAGCGCCCTGATCTCTCTTCCTGTCAGTTGGCTCTTCTGTAGACGGGCGGCACCTGCCCGACCAGACCCTCGGTACTGGGAGGGTAAAAGCGGCGGTTTGTGCGAAAGTGTAGACGCCGCTATTGTTCCACGTCCTGATCCCTTCCAGAGCCACATTCGGGTCGGAACTGATCGGTAGAGTGCGTATACCGCGAAGACTGAACACATTTTATTTTATTTTATTTTAGGATTTTATTTATTTGACAGAGACACAGCGAGAGAGGGAACACAAGCAGAGGGAGTGGGAGAGGGAGAAGCAGGCCCCCCGCGGAGCAGGGAGCCCGATGCGGGGCTCGATCCCAGGACCCGGGATCATGACCTGAGCCGAAGGCAGACGCTTAACGACTGAGCCACCCAGGCGCCCCAGAAAACATTTATTTTAAAAGAAGCGCAGGCCTCAAAGATACGTCCTGAAATGCGTGTGTGTTCCTCCCACTTGACCAGGAAAGTCTAACTAGGCGGAACTTGGACTGTAGTTTCCCCCTTCTCGTGGCTGCTGGAAGGTAGGGTGTCTTTGCATCCAAATACTCTCTCCCTGGCTTCTTTTCATGAATTCAGGATGGTACCGAGTGACAGCCCCTGAGCCTGGCCCACTGTGGTGGGAGGGGAGAGGGGGAGGGGAATGCAATTAGGGCAATTTAGTGGCAGTGTCTTTCACTCGTCCTCCCAGTCTGTGATTTCCAACAGCATGTTAGCACTGTACTTCTTTATTAAAATTATAGTTTACTGTGCTAATGTATATGTAGCTCATTACAGTCTAAAAGTACCCTGTGCATCAGTTACTGTTTATTCCTTATGACCCCAGTTTACAGACTGAGGAAAGCAAGACTAAGAAATTAAGTCATTTTTCAAAGATTGCTTAGTAGTGAAGCTAAGACTCAGCAGTTATTCAGAGCTTGTGTTCAGTGCTCCTTCTGACTCACCTCTGCTACTCTGGATGGTGATCTGTCCTAGCAGCCTTACAGGAAGAGCAAAGGCAGAAAAATCTGGGTCGAAATCAAATATTGACAGTATGCCTTTGGCCAAATCATCTGGTTTTCTCTGCTGCATAATGGAGGTCATAATGGTACTCTGTAAGTTGGTCCTGAGGATTAAATAAGATAACACATGTAAATACTTGATCTGCAGTGTCTGTTCTTTACACGGGGGCTTTTGTAAGTATATGCTAATTAGATTTCCACTACATGGCATATGTTTTCATGGAAATAGGGTTTACATTATCCCAGTCTGGTAAAAGACATAATTCCAGCATCATGTCCAGAAAGGGAACCTGAACTACTGTAGTTTTAATTGTTCTTAGTGAGTTGTTCTTAATGAAACTTCAGTTCTTAAATAATCACTTAAAGGTTAGTACTTAAAAAAAAAAAATGTAAGGTGGGGTGCCTGGGTGGCTCAGTCGGTGAAGCATCTGCCTTCGGCTCAGGTCATGATCCGGGGGTCCTGGGATCGAGCCCCGTATCAGGCTCCTTGCTCAGCAGGGAGTCTGCTTCTCCCTCTCCCTCTGCCCCTTCCCCCCGCCCCGTTCTCTCTCTCTCTTCTCTCAAAAAAGTAAATAAAAATCTTTAAGAAAATATAAACGATCTTTGGTTTCAAGAAGTTTACAGTGAGAGAAGCAGCAGCGTTAGTTGCTAAAAGCCTGGACACCACCACAACTCCTGAAGTTTAAATCCTGGCTCCAGGGGCATCTCAGTGACTCAGTTGGTTGGGAGTCCATCTCTTGATTTCGGCTCAGGTCATGATCTCAGGGTTGTAGGATCAAGCCCTGAATAGGGCTCCACACTGGTCATGGTGCCTGCTTGAGATTCTCTCTCTCCTTCTTCCTCTGCTCCCCCCACCCTGTTCATGCACGTGCTCCCTCTCCCTCTCTCTCTTAAAAAAAAACAAAACAAAAAACGTAAGGCATTAATTAAGGGCATCGTGCAAAGCACTCACCTGAACAAAAAGTCCACTTTCTTTGCTAGCATTTTAATGCTAACATAAGCTAAAATCATGTCTATGATTTAATAAAATTATTAAGCCAATAATAGAAATAATGAATTACATTACACAGAAATCAAAAACAAATACATCTGCTGTTCCATTTTTTAATTATGAAATATAAAGACCACATGTAACATTCATGGAAGACAAAGATCAAGTGCAAACCTGACCCAGTCTTCTGCCCACCAGCATAGAAATGGACAGTTGCCAATGGCTTGTTCATGTGTCCCTCCCTGATCAAACCTTCACTTGCCATTACCTCCAGCCCCCTCCCCAAAAGAATTGGGTATTATAATCACCTTGCTTTTGCACTTGTATTCCTAAAACAATATATTGTTTAATTTACGTGTTTTTGAACCTTATACAGAAAATGCTGCTTATTTTTCTACTCATTCTTTGTGCAAAATTAGATTTGTGAGGTTCAAACATTGATGCACTAGACATAGCATGGTTCATTCATTTAACATTTAATGTTCCATTTTTAATATGCTATTTATTTATTATTGTGTCTACGGGCAGTACTTGTTTCCAGATTTTATTTTTTTTTTTTAATCTTTGGAAGGAGGCAGGTATTTTGTTTGGAGTTGCTGTTGATAAGCATTCATGGTCATAGCTTATGCTACCATGTGAGGAGTTCCTCTGTGATACATAGGTCATAGAACCATTTATTGTCTTAACCAGAGCTCTTGAGAGCGAAAAGATATACTTAGTTTTACCATAACCATGGGTATGAATGGAAGCGTCCTGGAAAAATCAAGATGGATGGCTATTGAGTCACAGGATTCATGCTTGTGAAATGCGTATCCCTTTCAGCTTGTTTGGATCTTTGGCCTATTTTTCTGTTGGGTCATTTATTGTCCTATTGAGTTATAAGAATTTTTTATATATTCTTGATATTAATTAAGAAGTCTGACCGTACCAAGTGTAGGTAAATGTGGTGAACAAGAATACTTTCACACTGCCACTGTGTGTGTAAATTGGTACAAACACTTAGGAAGGCAATTTGACATTATCTAGCAAAGATGAGATATATTCTCTATGAACCAACATACACATAACGTTTGATAACATCTTGAAGAAGTTTGCACATGAACACCAGGAGACATGTATGAGAATATTCATAATGGCACTGTCTGTACTATCAAAAACCTAAAAATACCTCAGATGCTCATCGGTGATAGAACAGATCATATGTTGAGGCGCCTGGGTGACTCAGTCGGTTAAGCGGCTGCCTTCGGCTCAGGTCGTGATCCCAAGGTCCTGGGATTGAGCCCCATGTAGGGCTCCCCGCTCAGTGGAGAGCCTGCTTCTCTCTCTCCCTTTGCCTACCTCTTTGCCTGCTTGTGCTCTTTCTCTATCTCTCTGTCAAATAAATAAAATCTTAAAAAAAAAAAGAATAAATCATATGTTGTGACACCATCACACAACAGGGCACTCTCAACAGCAAAGATGAATGAATCCCAGCCTCACACTACTAATAAAGTTGAATCTCAAGGTTAAGCATAGAGAGGGGAAATTAGGTCAAAAACTGAAAATTCTAAGTAACGTGTTAAGGAAGTAAGCATGTGGAAGATTAAAGAAAAATAAGGGTATGGCAAATTTCAGAATATTACCACTAAAGGGGAGGGAAGTAAATATTAGAGTGTCTCAACCGTATATTATAAATATTGTTTGTATCCACTCAAAATTTGTTAAAAGTTTTTTACAGAAATGCACCTTTAGGAGAGAAGGGGGAAAGTTATAAGAAAAGAACCTCTAAGTTCTCCTACTGAGAGAAGGAAGTTTGTACCTGAGCTATCTCTTTCTGTCCAGAATATCTCCATCACCCCTGTGCCATTTTTCTATTTGCCTCATGTATGTGTGTTAGCTACCTAGCTTTCTCTCTGTGTCACTCCCTACAACATGGGATTACCGAGTTACCCTGGGATCTAAGACACAGTAGTATGCTGTGAGTTGCAGGATGTTTCAAAACAGCCCTTTGGCAGTGGTTTTTAATAAATATGTAGTTTCTATTCAGAAATTAAGATTGGGGTGTCAGGGTGGCTCAGTTGGTTGAGCATCTGCCTTCGGCTTAGGTCATGATCCCAGGGTCCTAGGATCGAGTCCCGCATCGGGCTCCTTGCTCAGTGGAGAGCCTGCTTGTCCCTTTCCCTCTGCCCTTCCCCCAAAGAAATTAGGATTGACAATATAATTTTTACTCTGGATTGGGCAGAACCTTTTTAGTCGTTATCACTAGGAAACATTGATTTTTCTAATTTAGATTGGATTAGAAACAAGGTTTCTAAAGAGAAAACATAGTTACAAACAAGCATTGATTTGCAAGAATGTTGATGTTTACCTTGCTTTTTTCCTTTCAGAAGATTGTTACTTTAAAAACATTTTAGATAAATTGGTAAACACAATTGCTGTGTCAGAGTTTTATCCTTTGCCTACCTGCTCTGCAGAAAAGTTACATTTCTATTCTCAATAAATAAGCTTCCCCAAAGCTCTCTAGGAGCTGTCATTTCTAAAAATCTGTCTATGTCATAGTTTTTTTCCTAAAAAATCATAGTTTCAATCTCTGTTTCTTTAATTACTGGTGAAGCAGTTGTTTCTTGCTGTAAGTATCCAGTCCACATCATGAGTGGGTCTTGTATAGTGATTAGCTTTCTCTTATTCCAATGAATTGTGGGAAGTAGCTCAGTGTTATCTGGACAGTCTTTCCTATGGTGCCCCCATTTTAGTCTGTCTCTGTATCTAATACATACAAATTAACCTTGACTGGCAGTTAATCCTGCTTATTTTAAGAGTAGAACTTTCTCCACCCTTCCCTGTATATAAAGAAAACACTGTGCTTTTGCCAGTTCTGATATTTTTACCTTTTCCTGCAATTGTATCAGACCTTTTCTTATAGCCTACATTATTCTACAATTAACCATTAGTGTAGTATTGGGATTTCTGGAATTAAAATCTGAACTGTTTTTATTCTGCGAGGGGCTCAGAACCAAGTTAACCCAGCTATAGTTACTGGCATCTCCCAGGTAGGCAAGCACTGTGCTAGGGGATGGGATACTTCAGTCCTCAGGAGGGTTAGTCAGGAAGGACCAAACTCCATTCCTGGCAGTGTGGGGAGTCAGACTGAGCCACCCAAGCGCCCCTACCAATGATTTTATTATTTTCTTTTAAAGATTTTATTTTTAAGTAATCTCTGTCTACACCCAGTGTGGGGCTCAAACTCACAACCCCAAGATCAAGAGTCATGGGCTCTACCGACTGAGCCAGCTGGGTGCCCCACTACCAGTGATGTTGCTGAGTCCCATCACTGCTCTGATTCTCAACGTCCCCTTCTGTGCATTAGGGCATTGATGGTGTTGCATTCAGCTGCTGTCCAGGTGAAAGGAAGTCATGCTTGCTGTTCCCATGGTCTTCCTGCCCAGCTTCTGCTGCACAGAGAGGACCCAGGGGACAGTCCCGCATGTGACGGCATGTCCATTTTTGATGCTCTCCAGGCAGCCTCTCCTCTGCCTTGCTATGAAACGGTACCAGAAAAAGGCTTTTGTTCCTTTTTCATTTCATTTTTGACTCCTTTATAGCTAATCAGATGAATATGTAACAAATGGGGAATTAGTAACTGACTATGCTGGACAAGAAACTTCTCCAAAGTGTTTACCTTTGGTTATCTACTTTAATCTTGTTTTTAGAGCTCAGGGTGACCAGGCTGTAAAAAGGAAGGACGGCTAATTTGGAATACTGTGGAAGTGTTGCCAAAGAAGTACTCTTATCTAGAGATCATCTAAGTATAGATTTTAAAGGTCAAGCAGGCATTTTTTTTTCTAGAAAAACCCTCATCTTAATTGGACTTTGTTCACTATAAGAATAGAACTATATACAGTAACTTTTGCTAAAAAAGTTTTTCAAGAAAAGGAGCACATTTTCTTTAGAGTTCAAACTCCTTGTTTCATTCTGTGGCCTCTACCATCCAGTGTCAACCCAGCGTTTCAGCTTTAACCGGCCCTGGTTTCTCCGCTTACTAGCGGCACGGCTTTGAGCGAGCTTGACCTCCCTGAGCATCAGCTTCCTCATCTGCAAGACGAAGAAAATGATAGTGGTTGTATCACAGGGTGGTTCTGAGGATCAAGTAAGAACATACACATACAACCCTTAGAACAGTACCGAGGACAGAATTCGCACCAGTAATCTGTCTGGTTCACTGTCATTAGGTCCGGTGGTCAGCCTGCCTCAATGAGGGTGCCTGTCTTGGTACAGTTTTTCTTTCTCATGCTCGATTCAGGCAGACAGCGTCCCAGAGAGAATGGGGAGATTGTTACAGGTTGGAGTGTCTTGGCTTCATGGAAGAGGGGGTCTACAACTGGGTCATAAGTAGAAGTTTTTGTTGTTGTTGTTTTAGTTTGCTTTCAAAATCTCATTCTTTATTATTACCGACTTACTGCACACTGCCCCAAACCCACTGTAGCACTTCTCATGGGAAAATGTCACAGGCACGATCCATTCAAGTTTCCCAAACTTTTATAACCAAAACCTGACACGTGGACCCACATAGGTGCACACTACAATAATATGACTTTCTCTGGAAATGCAACCCAAGGAGACACAGCCATCATCCCTAACAGTATAAATCCACAAAAATTGAATTAAGATTGTTGGCTAGGCTGATAGGCAGGGGCCAGGCAATAGGGCCTTTGTGTTTTCTTGGCTTCTCACCTACTCTGCCCGCTAAGAACAAGTAGGGTTTAAAAGGCTGGAGACCTCACCCCCTTTAGGAAGGCTACTATCAGAACAGGAAATAACAAGTATCATCAATGTGGAGAAATTGAAATCCTTGTGTATTTTTGCAGGAAATGTAAAATGGTGCAACTACTATGGAAAACAGTTTGTTGGTTGCTCAAATAATTAAAAATAGAATTGTCATATGATTCAGCAATCCTACTTCTGGGCATATACCCAAAGGAATTAAAAGCAAGGACTCAAAGAGATATTTGTACATGCGTGTTCATGGCAGCAGTCAGTGGCCGAAGCGTGGAAGCAAGCCAGGTGTTCATCGTGGATGAAGGTGGAAGCAAAATGTGGTATGAAGATACAATGGAATATTAGTCAGCCTGAAAAAATAAGGAAATTCTGACATACTACAACATGGGTGAACCTTGAGGGCATTAAGCTAAGTGAAATAAGCCAGTCACAAAAGGGCAAATACTGTGGTGTCCCACTTATGTGAAGTACCTACAGAAGTCACATTCATGGGGTCATAAAGTAGAAGGCCATTATCAGGGGCTGGCATTGGGGGGCAGGGAGTGCTGGGGAGTCATTGTTTAATGGGTACAGTGTTTCAGTTTTGCAAAATGAGAAGAGTTCTGGAGATTGGTGGTGGTGATGGTTGCACAATGATATGAATGCACTGAATACCCCTTAATTTTGAAGTCAAAAATGGTTAAGATGGTAAATGATCAAGGTGGTTACATTATGTGTCTTTTACCATGATCAATCAATTGATAGATGGCTGGAGAAATGGAGTCTTTCGAATTTTGAACCATGTGAATATATAACTGATAAACATTTTTTAATAGGCTTTATTTTTTGGAGCAGTTGTGGTAGGTTCACTGCAAACTTGTGAGCAGAAGGTTCAGAGATTTCCCATATACCCTCCACCTCCCTCACCAAGCGGTACATTTGTTACAGTCAGTGAACCTGCGTTGACACGTCATCACACAAAGTCCATAGTCCGCATTAGCGTTCACTCTTGGTGTTGTGCATTCCATGAGTTTGGGCAAATGTGTAATGACATGTATCCACCATTTGTTTTTAAGTTTAAAAAACAGTTTTAACAGGAAGGTAAAATCAGCTCAACAGTAACTGAGATAGAAAGCTGATGAGGTTGGTTCATATCTGTCTTTGCTTCAGGGGGCCATGGAGAATGCTAACGGCACCAAGCAGAGCGTGACTGAGGACTCGAGTCCGGCCGAGGGGCAAACCGGGAGCATCACTCCGCAGGGAGAGCAGGGGCAGCTGCTTTATCACGAGGAAACCATTGACCTCGGTGGAGACGAGTTTGGGTCTGAAGAGAACGAGACTATATCAGAAGATTCTAATAATTTCGTAGATAAGCTTAATGAGCACCTGATGGAGAGCGTCCTCATTTCTGACTCTCCTAATAATAGTGAAGATGACTCAGGTGACCTTGGCTGTTTGCAGGATGTTGTGGAGCCTGCAGAAGGCAGTGCTGGTCCCACACTGGAAAGTCTCGGGGACGAAGGAGCAGTGGACACCCTGAGCAAGGACAGTGAAAGTGACGGAGAGGATGTGTCTAAAGACATCTCTGACACGACCCCGGACCCAGACCACAACCAAGTCAAAGGTGTGCCCGCCTTGGGAGAGGAGGGTGCAAAGGACCCTGGCCCAGGGGACGGGAGCACTCACCCGGAAGGGCTGGGGTGCACCCCACCTCCGAGACTGTCCCCTCCCACTGAGGAGCCCGTCCCGGTGTGCACCATCTTCAGCCAGCCGCTTCCCGCCCGCTCCCAGCCGCCCCTGCTCCTGCGGGATGGCTTCGAGCCCCAGATGGTGAAGTCTCCGAGCTTCAGTGGTGCGAGCGAAACGGTGGCCAAGACCCCTCCCCAGGCTGTGCAGCCAAGCCCCAGCCTGAGTAAATTTTTTGGTGATCCTGCCAACACTAATTCCTTGGCCTCAGACTTCTTTGATTCGTTCACAACTTCCACTTTCATCTCCGTCAGTAACCCCCATGCAGGTTCTTCAGCTCCAGAAAAACTGTCTTCGCTCTCCACTCCGGGGGGAGAAAGATCCCCAGGTGCTGCTGAGCCTTCTCACTCTCCAGGGATCGAAAAGTCAAAAGCAGGTGTTTCCCCAGCTTCTGCAGAAATCTCTCAGTCTCCAAAACCGTTTTCACAGATCCAGGCTGTGTTTGCGGGGAGCGAGGACCCCTTTGCCACGGCCCTGAGCATGAGCGAGATGGATCGCAGAAGTGATGCCTGGCTCCCCGGGGAGGGGACCAGGGATGTCCTGATTTCAGTAGCCACCCAACAGTACAGCACAGTGTTCGTAGACAAGGAGAGCCTCACCATGCCAGGCCTCAAGTTTGACAACATCCAGGTGGGTGCAGGACATCTTCAGGGGGGCATTCGTGGCCGGATTCCTCAGCGGCCACTTCTAGTTCCTTCTCATCTCTTTCTGCTTTGCCTCTCTCCCTCACCCCCCCCCCATATGGATGTGTGTGTGTGCGTGCGCGCACACATACACACACATAAATACCTTTCAGGGATTGAAAAGTCCCCATTTTTTAGCAATTCCTAAAATACTCTTTTGGAGAGTCTGTGTTACATCACTACATAATTTGGAACTTTGTTGATTTCCCTAATGTATTTAAGGCACTAGTCAACGTCTTAGAAGTAAATGCCAGCAAAGTAGATAGTTACATCATAATTCTCTGACGTAGCTGTGAACTTCAGATGCTCAGGTTATTTGTGACATTTAAGCTTCAGCAAATGATAAGTCCCCCATTCCGTTTTTTTAAAATCTGGGGAGTATATTTGTTTAGCATATAACATGCTTGATGTAGAAAGAGTTTTATAGACTCATTAAGAAAAATGTGGATGGCCCCACAAAGTAACAAATCACAAAAATATTTCAATGTTCTATATAATAAATAGTGACATAGAAAAGTTGTCTAGCAATCAAAGATGATAAGGTTATCTCCATTTTCTGTTATCTAATTGGGCATTTCGTTTATGATTATTCCATGTTTGCTAGAGTGTGGGAAAATGGCCTGACTCAGGCAGCCCTGATGGGACCATAAGTCAATACAAACATTTTTAAGTAAAGTTTTTAAATCAGCATCCAAATGTGCATATTATTTGGTCCAGAAATCCCAGTCTTAGGAATTTTTTTATAAGGAAATAATGTCACTGGTATACAAATACCCAGCTTTTGGGATGCCCATCACAGTGTGGTTTATTATTGCAAAGCATCTGAAACGATCCAAAAGCCCATTATCAAGAGGCTGGTTGAATACATTTGAGTCATCTGTAAAATGGAATATTAACGTAGGTATTAAAAATGATGATACAGGGACGCCTGGGTGGCTCAGTCAGTGAAGCGTCTGCCTTCGGCTCGGGTCATGATCTCAAGGTCCTGGGATCGAACCCCATATCGGGCTCCCGGGCTTCCTGTTCGGCGGGCAATCTGCTTCTCCCTCTCCCTCTGCCCCTCCCCACCCCACTCTCGTGCACGCTCTCTCGTGCTGTCTCTCTCAAATAAATAAATAAAATCTTTTTTAAAAAATTAAATACAAATGTTAAAAAATGATGATATAGCAGGATTTTCAACGAGGTCCATATTTTATTGTTAAATTTGAAAAACTGGATACAAGACGGCATGTGGCATGCATAGTATGGTGAGAATGTTTATAAATACATGTAACACGTACCTAGAGAGTGAGCGCATCGGATGCCAGTGGCAGGTGATTGCCCAGGTTGCTGCCCAGCCCCGGGCATGGGGGACATCGGTCCAGCCCCCGTGGCTGGCCTTGTGTCCTGCGCGTGTCTGCCCTCCTGTCTCCAGCAGCCTTTTTGGGAAGCATGTGCCCGCTCCTGCACATGCATGGCTGGTCGGAAGGCCCAGTGCGTGGGACGTGTGTTGTCGTGGCATGGTAAACTGCTGAGCCCTGGGAGAAGGGCCACACTGGGGACCTAGAAATGCAAGCCCATAGGTTCTGACACTTCGCATGGCAGTGTTGACAGCATATTCAGGTACCAAACGCACATTTATTGTGCGTGTACTGTTTACCAGGCATTGTGAGCAGCTTCCTTCTCCACTCTCTCAAGCAGAATACACTGAACATAAACTTACTTTTGCGGCATCTTTTTAATGAATTCTGGGTATGGACTCTGAGTTCAGGGGGTACTTGGACATGCAGGATTTGGTTTATGTATTCACAGATTTCCTTCCCCACCCTTCCCTAGCCCTGTCTACATCCACTCTACCCGCAGAGGGGGAGGAGGGGAAGGCTTTACTGTTCCATGTTTCTTCCCTCCCTGCTTCTGGGGGACTGTGTGCTCGGCCACCATGTTCCTGCAGCCTCCGTGGGACTGGCCTTTTAGCACTTCCTTTCCACACTATCTGTTGTTTGCAGTTTGCTTCCCCCCCATTGTAATTCAGGGGAAAATTGAAGGTTGCCATGGAAATGACTTCGCCCGGGGGTTCTAGGGTACGTTTGGAGATGTGTAGAGGTGCTTCACTCTGGTTGCCAGAGGTCTAGGGTGAGCACATGACATTCATGGATGGGGCCAAGCATGCTGAATAGCCAGTGGGCTGGTTAGTGCCAGACCAGAAACACTGTGCTACCCAAAATGTCAGTCCTCCTTGAGTCAGGAAGCGCAAGCCCTGAAGTTCAGTGCTGGTTTCCCCTAGATTGAATCAGATACAGAGGCCCTGTCATAGGTCCTCCCTAACTCTAAAGCTTCCGTGATTTACCTCCCCAGTTCCACGCAGCTGCCCGTGAGAAAGTCAGGACACTGCACAAGTCAGCAAGGGTTGGGGAGCTCCCACTGCCTGGGCAGAGTGCAGGGAGCTGACCAGGCACAGCCTGCCTTCTTCTCATTTCCTTTAAGTCCTCCGGCCATGTCTTCAGTACCTCTTGCAGTCCACGGTGGTGGTTTTGGGAACCTTGTGGTAGGGTGAAATTTGAACCAAGAATAGTTCCCAGAATACCTTTGACTCTCCCACATGACAGGTGTGCTGCATGTGCGCCCACATGTGTCCCTTCACCTGTACGTTATCATTCCCAAGACAGAAAAGAAAATGTACGGTTAACCTTGAACCGACATGCTGTGTTCATTCGCCAGGAGACTTCAGATTGGTTTCTCTATTAATTTTCTGGGCACACCAAGCTTTTGAAACCATTTCTTGGATTTACTTATTAATAAGCTCCCCCTTTGTCACTGTTACTACGACAGAGTTGTTCATTCTCAACCAGCTTTCTAAAACACTTAACGATTTTCTTCCAAATTGCTCGCCTCATTAAAAATTACCTTCCTGGAGGATAAAACTTGAAAGATTTTAATTTCTCTATGAAATGACGTCAGTGGCAGTCTTAGCTAAGTTAGAAGCTGAAAGGTGAACGTGTAACACCTCCTTCCACTCCGGTGGGGCATCAGAAGGACACAGACATTTTCAGCTCGTTATGGTTGTACGTGCCCTCTGTCCTCAAAGGAGTAAATGGAAAGTTTGTGGGGAAATGGTAATTCAGAACTTTTTAGAACCGGTAAGGAATGAAAATGGAGAATTGTTTGTGTGGTGCTTGTTCACTAAAGAGAGGAAGGGAAAAGAGGAATAAATAGAAGCAGCAGAATTTCAGTGGTGAGGGTAACAGGGCGGTGAAGGTGAAGGTGATGGGGTTGGGCCCCTCTTCCAGGCATCAGAATTCCCCAGCCCATGCTGGCGGCACGAGAAACCTGGCACACACACTTGGAGACTGGAGCCTTCCACCACCCCTTTCCCATTCTCTTTCCCCGTTCTTGCCTTCCCTCTCACCCTTCCTGCAACTTGGATTTCTCCGGAATCCCCTCAGGGAAGCCCACACGGTCTGAACCCCAGGTCAGGAGCCTACAGGAAGCCAAGGACCCACCTGTTCCTGCAGCTTCACCAGCTACACATGTTCTCAGCTTTCATTAGTCTGCAGAAATCATTTATGTCATCTCCATTTTTAAAGGTTATTTTTTTCTGGATATGCAATATGTTTACAATATAAAATTCCAGGTTGACAGGTGGGTTTTTTTTCCATTCAACATTTTTTTTTTTTTTAAGATTTTATTTATTTATTTGACAGAAACAGCGAGAGCAGGAACACAAGCAGGGGGAGTGGGAGAGGGAGAAGCAGGCCTCCCGCTGAGCAGGGAGCCCGATGTGGGACTCGATCCCAGGACTCTGGGATCATGACCTGAGCCGAAGGCAGCCGCTTAACGACTGAGCCACCCAGGCGCCCTCCATTCAACATTTTAAAGATGCTCTTCCATCGTGTTCTGGATGTGAAGTTTATAATAATTTTTAAGATCTTATTTATTTGAGAGAGAGTGAGCACAAGCAGGGAGGAGAGGGCGAAGGAGAGGGAGAAGCAGACTCCCCGCTTAGCAGGGAGCCCGATGAGGGACTTGATCCCAGGACCCTAAGATCATGACCTGAGCCGAAGGCAGACACTAAAGTGACTGAGCCACCCAGGCGTCCTATAATTTTATCTTCACTCTTCTGTACCTAATGTACATGTTTTCCTCTGGTTACTTTTAAGATTTTATCACTGGTTTTCAGCTGTTTGATCCTGATATGCATTCACATGGTTTTCTTTTCTGTTTATCTTGCTTGGGATATGTTGACCTTACTGGGATGTGTTTTCCCAGTTGGGAATATTCTAGTCCTTACCTCTTCAAATAGTTTTTCAGTTTTCCCTCCCTCCTCTCTACTTCTGGGACTCAATTCCACACATTACTCGATTTTGCCAGAGGCCACAAAGGATCTGTGTTTGTTATTCAGTTTTATTTCTCTTTTTGCTTCCCTTTGAAATTCCTGCAGTCATGTCCTGAAGTCCGTAGTCTTTCCTTCTGTGCTTTTTAGTTTGCAGCTGATGCTTTTTGGTGAATTTTTCATGTTTTTTGTCTCCAGAATTTGCATTTGCTGCTTTTTTATCTTTTTCTTTATTCAGTGTGTTGAAGTTTTGCTTCAGATCCTCACGGGCATTTATAACAGCTGTCTGAAGGTTCTTCTCCGGGTAGTCTGTCATCTCCGTAATCTCTGGATCTGTTTGTATTTATCTCTTCTCTTGGTTGTGGGTCACATGTGCTGGCTTTGTCCCATGTCTCATCATTTTTGGTTAGAGGATGGACATTGTGGGTTTCATGTGTTTGGAAGTCTGTATTGTGTTGTCTTCAAAAAGACTTGCGCTTCGTTCTGGTCGGCAGGTATGTTATATGCAGATTCACTTGATCTTTTTCAGGTTTGTTTTTAAGCTTCTTAGGGTGAGTTTAGAGTAGCTTTTCCTCGTGGGTGACCTTTCTGACATCTGTCGAAAGCCTCGGTGTTCAACAAGAGTGCTCCACACAGTTGGCATAAACTTGGCATCTTTCAGCCTGTGTGACCTCTGAGAATTGCTCAGTCCCTTGCCGTTTCACCCAGCCTTCTAGAGCATCACCGTGTGCATGGGCTGCTTGGTGTCCAGCCATGGACTCAGGCTTCTGTGCGGAGGTCCCTCGTTTTCAGTGCTCCTTCTTGCCAGTTGCAGCCACCTCAGCCTCTCGGATTCCCAACTTTGTCTCCTCACCTCCGCAAGGTCGCCACACCCTGCTTGGGACTCCTCTTCACACTGTGCTCCGAATGTGCCTTTGAATTCGGGAACTCGAGTCACCTTTCTCACTCTCTCAGATCCCAGCCCTCTTCCGTGTCTTCATCCCTTTCCTCACTGGAGAACAGTCCAGTCCCGGTTACTCGTAAGAAGTCCCTGCTGCTTTTGCTCACCACACTCACGGACGGTTCCTGAGCTAAGTTTGCTGAACTGAGTTGAAGCATGAGAGTGAGCCCAGGAAGACGTGGGGAGGCCAGTTCAGGCCATTCTGTGATAGCCTCCCACCGTTTTCCTTGTTGAGACATTCTCTCAAATTCTGATTTGTTTGGGGCCTCACAAGAAAAAAAGGGTTAGATTTGGTTTTGTTTTTACAGCTTAAGGGAAATAGAGTTCACATGTGATACAGTTCACACATTCAACTTACAATTCACTGGTTTTTAGCATTTTTTTAAAAGATTTTATTTATCTATTTGACAGAGAGAGACACAGCGAGAGAGGGAACACAAGCAGGGGGAGCGGGAGAGGAAGAAGCAGGCATCCCGCGGAGCAGGGAGCCCGATGCGGGGCTTGATCCCAGGACCCTGGGATCCTGACCTGAGCCCAAGGCAGAACCTCAACGCCGGAGCCACCCAGGCGCCCCTGGTTTTTAGCATTTTGACAGAATTGTGCAACCATCACCACAGTCAATTTTTAGAACATTTTTATCTCCCCAAAAGAAGCCAAACCCCCGCCCCCTCCCCCAGCTCCAGGCAAGCACTGATCTCTCTGTCTCTGTGGATTCTCCTGTTCTAGACATTTCATACAAATGCAGTCATACAATATGTGGTCTTGCGTGACTGGCTTCTGTTACTTAGGATAATGTTTTCAAGAGTCGTCCATTTTGTAACATGTATCATCCCTACATTACTTTTTATTGTCAAATAATATTCCAGTTTATGAATATTCCACATTTTATCCATTCATCCCTTGATGGACATTTCATTTGTTTCCGTTTTTTGGCTGTTGTGAATCCACTTTTTGGCTGTTGTGAATGATGCTGCTTATGAACATTCATGAACAAGTTTTTGTGTGGTCACATTTCCATTTCTCTTGCGTACGTACTTCGGAGTGGAACTGCCGGGTTACATAGCAACTCTGGGGTTTATTTTTTTAAGATTAATTTATTTATTAGAGAGAGCATGTGTGCACACATGCGTGCACAGGCGAGGGGCAGAGGGAGAGAATCTCAGGCAGATTCCCCAGTGAGCATGGAGCCCGATGCGGGGCTCGATCCCAGGACCCTGAGATCACAACCTGAGCCGAAACCAAGAGTCAGACACTTAACCAACTGAGCCACCCAAACGTGCCCCTGGGGTTCACGTTTTGAGGAATGTCCAAACTGTCTTCCAGATGGCTGCACCATTTTACATTCCACCAGTTTGGGGTTCTGCCTCGTTTTTGTTTCTTTGATGTTTGTTCAGGAGGTTTTGCTTACCCTGGGAGAGAGCAAACACAAGCAAGAGGATCACATGCTCCCAGAACTTCTCCACTGGAGCCATGGCAGAAAGCTCACTGTGTGCTGGGTCAGGTGCAGGGCCCACTGTCTCTTCAGACCACTGCCCCATGACCACTGTGTCTTCAGGTTTCCTAGACAGTAAAGCCTGCATGCTGTGAATCAGCTGCTCTGGTTTCCGTTTTGTCTTTGTCCATTAAAATCGAGAAGGGACTGCTGAACTGTCCCCACACTGAAGGAGGGGTGGCAGCCCATGGCCATCTGTGAGCTGAGATCAGCCACTCGTTCTTGCATAAACACCTCTGACAGGGGTGGTGAGGGTGGGGGGAACAACAGGCATCCTCCCTGTTGCCTGGCTGAGTCCTGGCTCGTTCCCATGCTATCTCCCCACGTTTCCTGCTTGGCCTTGGATGCACCAGTCCCTCACTGAAGAGTTTGCTGATTTGGAGGTGTCCAAGGGTTCCAGGCGGGTTCCATCCCAGGGGCAGCAGCTTAGCTCTGAGAAAAATCCCACAGCAGGGCAAGTTTGCTCCCCTCTCCCCCGCAACCACAGGAGGATGTGCAGTCAGGTGCCATGACCCCTGGGCCATAGTCCCCTCCAGCTCAGTGACACAGCAGGAGTAGGTTCATGGAAAGACATTTTGTCCCGTCCCTGGGCTTTCATAGGTGAGATGTTTGTTAGTCCTACAAATGCTCATGTCTCAGGAACTTCCTGTGCTAACGAAAATGTTAACCAACAGAGATTTTTAAGGGAAAAGATGTTTGTAGTGTGGTCTAATTAACAGAATGTTGCAGGGATGGAGCAATTAAATGGGTCCTCCCTCTGCGGCATGGAGATGTGATCTTGCCCTTTTCCGGCTCACAGCTCCTCCCACCCAGTTCAAGCCCTTGTTTAATAGGAGTTGCATTCCTGCAGAGCTTTATGGAGCCATATGGCAGAGCTCTTCTTATTCTGCCCTTTAATTGTCCCTCCTAGACCAGTTAGCCCCTTCTGTGGCTCCAGCATTTGAAGCATTTCACCTCACATTCTGAAAGCAAAAAATCATAAAACTGCTGCTTCTAGATTTTCGCTAGAGAGGTGTGGCTTGGCCTCTTGCAGCACGGGGCTCAGTGCCCAGGGCCGGAACCAGACTTGTGACCTGGAACCCCCCTGCCAAAGCCGCCTCTCCCCCTTTACCCGTGGAAGGGCAGCCGCAGACCCCTGCAGCATCTTTTCTGCCTCTCCTGCACACGTCATCCACAGGCTGGTGCTTTTTAAGTGTCACTGTTCTGGGCAACCACGAAAGATTCACCTTGCATGCTTACGCCAAGGGTAGGAAAACAATAGGAAGGGGCGGGGGCGCCTGTGGAGTCCGCAGGGAACACGTCCACACTGCTCTCCTCTCCGTCCTCAGTCGCTGTGTGCCCGTGGCCCTGTATGGCTAGCACTCAGCGGCCTGCAGCTGGAAGCCAGGGTTTTACTCGCCTAGATGAGAGGATTCTTATTCCCCAGCACCCAAAAGGTGGCATTTCTCCCTGGCCATTCCAGCCACTGATAATCCTTCCTCTCCTGGCCTGGCCAAAGCACCTTGTCCTCTGCCCCTCGCCCTTCCATCTTCCCCTTATGTTTGGTTCGTCTTCTTTTTTATTTTTTTATGTAGGCATAAGTGATACACATTATATTAAGTTCAGGTGTATAACATGATTCAGTATTTGCAGATACTGCAAAATGGTCACCACGATAGGTCTTGTTAACATCCCTCACCTTACGTATTACAGAATTATTTTTCTCGTGATAAAACTTGTAAGATAAATATATCTTAGCAACTTCCAAATATACAGCGCAGCACTGTTAACTAGTTGCCATGCAGTTCATTCATCCCCAGGACTTCCTTCCTTCTTTCTTTTTTTTTTTAGGACTTGTTTCTTTTATAACTGAAAGTTTGCACCTTTTGACCACCTTTCCCATTTGGCCCATCCCCCACTCCCACCCCTGCCTCTGGCAATCACCAGTGTGTTCCTGTATCTTTGAGTTTGTTTGGATTTTTGGTTTTCATTTTTTTAAGATTCCACATAGATCATAGGGGATTTGTCTTTCTCTGACTTACTTCATTTAGCATAATGCCCTCAAGTTCCAACCATGTTGAAACAAATGACAAGATTTCATTCTCTTCCTGCAACTGATCCTATTCCATGACACCTCGTCTTCTTTATCCGTTCATCCGTCCACGGACACGTGGCTTGTTCCCAAATACTGACTGTGAACATGGGGATGCAGACATCTTTTCAAGTTAGTGTCTTTATGTCCTTCAGATAAATACCCAGAAGTGGCACTGCGGGGTCATAAGCTGGTTCTGACTCTCTGAGGAACGTCCATCGTGTCCTACGGTGGCTGCTCCATCCTCTCTTCCCAGCAGCTGTGCGCCAGGATCCCTTTCATCCACATCCTCACCAGCCGCCTTCCCTCAGGAGCTTCGGATTCCACTTTTCCATCCTTGGGCCCTGTCCGCGGGGGCGTCGAACCTAAGGAGTCAGTCTGTGAGGCCCAAGTTCCCCATGCAGAGGCCGTTTGGGCGCTTTCCTGGCCCCCAGCACAACTCCTGTGAGCGGAGGGCCTGTCTGAGCCCCTGGCATAGGACCTGCTTGGGAGGGCGCTCTTCTCTTGTCTCCTGGGCTGGGAGTGAGCCTAGCACCCGAAGGAGGGCTTGGCTGAGCCCCTGGCAGAGGACCTGCTTGGGAGGGTGCTCTTCTCTTGTCTCCCGGGTTGGGAGTGAGCCTAGCACCCGAAGGAGGGTCTGGCTGAGCCCCTGGCAGAGGATCTGCTCGGGAGGGTGCTCTTCTCTTGTCTCCGGGCTGAAGGACGGCAGTGCCAGGTCCCAGAGGCTTTTCCAGAGACAAAGGCAACCTGGCGGATTGCTGGGGCCTGCGCTGCCGCCCCCATCTAGCCCTTGGTCCCAAACCCCACTCCTGGCTCGGCGTACCTCTCATGTAAGCCTGGTCCAGGTGGTGGTGATTTACCCCTTCTTCTAAAATAAAGAGAGCAGTTTTAAAATACACATTTTATTAAAGGTGGTGATGCTCAAGCATCTGGGTGATTGAAGTTTTAGTGTACTGTAACAACGTTTTAACCTCCAAACACCAATGGAGAAAAAAGGAATTTCGTTTAGTTATGGGTTCTGGTTAGCTGAGTTTAATTAACATTTTATTGTCTTGACATATTTTTCTTACATTCCTTCAAGGGGGATGCAGTTAAAGACCTGATGCTTCGCTTCCTGGGTGAGAGAGCCGCAGCGAAGAGACAGGTCTTAAATGCCGAGTCCGTAGAGCAGACTTTCGTCGGGTTGAAACAGCTAATTGTAAGTAATGATGTGTTTGATTTCAATATTGTTGTTCTTATAAGGCCCGACTTTCCTTGTAGTATTTTCCTCAGAGTTAATTACTTCAAATGTATTATCTAAAGCCCTTGCATGTAAATAAAATTGTGTTGAATTAGATACCAGTCCTGTGCAGAAAAAGTGTCATATTAACATACTTTTAATAGTAAGGCCAATTAGTTAGAAAGCCATTATTTTTTATGATTACATTCCTTGAAGCAGAATATACTTTGATTAAACATGCTTCATCAAATACATTAACTAAAGATAAGTAATTTTTATTTTTATGTTGTTGTTCTTTTTGAAATACTCTGTTTTCTCTACTTGGTATAAAGGGTTTATTATTGAATGGGTGGGTTCAACAAAAATGCACACAAAAATCTTTGTTCATTACTAGGAGTACGTATGACTATGCAGGCAGAGATGCAGTCCCAAATATTAATGGGAAACTATCTGAACTGAAGGCATGTTAACATGAACAGGTCGGTGTTTCTGGTGGTCTTTGAAGCCCAGGAAACTGCACGCCCCCCACAATTGCCTTTATCCTTGGTACCTTTTATCATATTTACAGAAGTATGTGTCTTCAAAGAGGTAATAAGAATCATTTGTTTAGGTGGTTAGCAAATATTTTATACATAAAGCAATTAAAATTTAGGGGCACCCGGGTGCCTCAGTCGATTGAGCAGTCAACTCTTGATTTCAGCTCAGGTATGATCTCAGGGTCGTGGGATCGAACCCCGTGTCAGGCTCCAGGCTCAGCGTGGAGTCTGCTTCTCTCCCTCTGCTCCGCCCCGTGCTTTCTCAAGCTCTCTAAAATAAATAGATCTTTTTTTAAAAACAATTAGGGGCACCTGTATGGCTCCATCATTAAGCATCTGCCTTCAGCTCAAGTCATGATCCCACGGTCCTGGGATTGAGGCCCAAGTCAGGCTCTCTGCTCAGCGGGGAGTCTGCTTCTCCCTCCTCCTTCTCCCACTCCCTCTGCTTGTGTTCCTGCTTCACTATCTGCTATTTCTCTCTCTGTCAAACAAATAAAATCTTTTAAAAAGTTTTAATAAAGCAATTAAAGTTTAATTTTTTAGTAAATTTAAATCAAATGCTTCATTGGGTTTCTTTTACTGAAGTGATTCTGGAATTATTGCTATGACTAAGAAGCTTTGGGAAGGAAAAATATGGAGATAATCTGGCTTTTTGTTTGTTTTTTAAGATTTTTTTTTTTTTTTAAGCTATCTGCACACCCAATGTGGGGCTCAAACGCCCAACCGGAGATCAAGAGTTGCATGCTCTGCTGACTGAGCCAGCCAGGGCACCCCAGAAATAGTCTGGGTTTTTTTGTGTTTGTTTTTTTGTTTTTTTAATTCTAGAGCACCCTCTCGGGGAGCAGTCTTTATTTGCATTTTAAGAGAGTGACCCCATAGATGAAAAACGCTGCAACCAATTGACACAACACGCAGTCCCTTTTTTGTAATTTTATTTTATTATGTAATATTAGTCATCATACAGTAATCATTGGTTTTTTTTAATATTTTTTTTTATTATGTTATGTTAATAATCATACATTACATCATTAGTTTTTGATGTAGTGTTCCATGATTCATTATTTGCGTATAACACCCAGTGCTCCATGCAGAACGTGCCCTCTTTAATACCCATCACCAGGCTAACCCATCCCCCCATCCCCTCCCCTCCAGAACCCTCAGGTTGTTTATCAGAGTCCATCCTCTCTCATGGTTTGTCTCCCCCTCCGATTCCCCCCCCTTCATCCTTCCCCTCCTGCTACCTTCTTCTTTTGTTTTTTTTTTCTTAACATATATTGCATTATTTGTTTCAGAGGTACAGATCTGAGATTCAACAGTCTTACACAATTCACAGTGTTTACCATAGCACATACCCTCCCCAATGTCTATCACCCAGCCACCCCATCCCTCCCACCCCCCACCACTCCAAAACCCTCAGTTTGTTTCCTGAGATTAAGAATTCCTCATATCAGTGAGGTCATATGATACATGTCTTTCTCTGATTGACTTATTTCGCTCAGCATAATACCCTCCAGTTCTATCCATATCGTTGGAAATGGCAAGATCTCATTCCTTTTGATGGCTGCATAATATTCCATTGTATATATATACCACATCTTCTTTATCCAGTCATCTGTCGATGGACATCTTGGCTCTTTCCACAGTTTGGCTATTGTGGACATTGCTGCTATAAACATCAGGGTGCACGTACCCTTTCGGATCCCTACTTTTGTATCTTTGGGGTAAATACCCAGTAGTGCAATTGCTGGGTCATATGGTAGCTCTATTTTCACATCATTAGTTTTAGATGTAGTGTTCCATGATTCATTGTTTGCGTATAACACCCAGTGCTCCATTCAGTACGTGCCCTCCTTAATACCCATCACCGGGCAAACCCATCCCCCCTACCCCCCTGCCCTCTAAAACCCTCAGTTTGATTCTCAGAGTCCATAGTCTCTCATTGTTTGTCTGCCACTCCGATTTCCCCTGCTTCATTTTTCCCTTCCTACTATTTTTTTTTTTTAACATATAATATATTATTTGTTTCAGAGGTACAGGTCTATGATTCATCAGTCTTACACAATTCACAGTGCTCACCATAGCACATACCCTCCCCAGTGTCCATTACCCAACCACCCCATCCCTCCCACCCCCCTCCACTCCAGCAACCCTCAGTTTATTTCCTGAGACTAAGAGTCTCTTACGGTTTGTCTCCCTCTCTGGTTTCATCTTGTTTCATTATTTCCTCCTTTCCCCTATGGTCCTCTGTCTTGTTTCTCAAATTCCTCTTATCAGTGAGATCATATGATACTTGTCTTTCTGTGATTGACTTATTGCGCTTGGCATAATACCCTCTAGTTCCATCCACATCATTGCAAATGGCAAGATTTCGGGGGGTTTTTGATAGCTGCATAGTATTCCATTGTATATATGTACCACATCATCTTTATCCATTCATCTGTTGATGGACATCTTGACTCTTTCCATAGTTTGGCTATTGACATTACTGCTATAAACATCGGGGTGCACGTGCCCCTTCAGATCACTACATTTGTATCTTTGGGGTAAATACCCAGTAATGCGATTACTGGGTCATATGGTAGCTCTATTTTCAACTTTTTGAGGACCCTCCATACTGTTTTCCAGAGTGGCTGCACCAGCTTGCATTCCCACCAACAGTGTAAGAGGGTTCCCCTTTCTCCACATCTCCACCAATATCTGTCATTTCCTGACTTGTTAATTTTAGTCATTCTGACTGGTGTGAGGTGGTATCTCACTGAGGTTTTGATTTGGATTTCCCTAATGCCGAGCAATGTTGAGCACTTTTTCATGGGTCTGTTGGCCATTTGGCAGAAATGTCTGTTCATGTCTTCTGCCCATTTCTTGATTGGATTCTTTGTTCTTTGGGTGTTGAGTTTGATAAGTTCTATATAGATTTTGGATACTAGCCCTTGATCTGATATGTCATTTGCAAATATCTTCTCCCATTCTGTCGGTTGCCTTTTGGTTTTGTTGACTGTTTCCTTTGCTTTGCAAAAGCTTTTTATCTTGATGAAGTCCCAATAGTTCATTTTTGCCCTTGCTTCCCTTGCCTTTGGTGATGTTTCTAGGAGGAAGTTGCTGCGGCTGAGGTCAAAGAGGTTGCTGCCTGTGTTCTCCTTTAGGATTTTGATGGACTCCTGTCTCACATTGAGGTCTTTCAACCATTTGGAGTCTATTTTTGTGTGTGGTATAAGGAAATGGTCCAGTTTCATTCTTCTGCATGTGGCTGTCCAATTTTCCCAACACCATTTGTTGAAGAGACTGTCTTTTTTCCATTGGACATTCTTTCCTGCTTTGTCGAAGATGAGTTGACCATAGAGTTGAGGGTCCATTTCTGGGCTCTCTATTCTGTTCCATTGATCTATGTATCTGTTCTTGTGCCAGTACCATGCTGTCTTGGTGACGACAGCTTTGTAATAGAGCTGGAAGTCCGGAATTGTGATGCCGCCAGCTTTGCTTTTCTTTTTCAACATTCCTCTGGCTATTTGGGGTCTTTTCTGGTTCCATACAAATTTTAGGATTATTTGTTCCATTTCTTTGAAAAAAGTGGATGGTATTTTGATAGGGATTGCATTGACTGTGTAGATTGCTCTAGGTAGCATTGACATCTTCACAATATTTGTTCTTCCAATCCATGAGCATGAAACATTTTGCATTTCTTTGTGTCTTCCTCAATTTCTTTCATGAGTATTCTATAGTTTTCTGAATACAGATACTTTGCCTCTTTGGTTAGATTTATTCCTAGGTATCTTATGGTTTTGGGTGCAGTTGTAAATGGGATCGACTCCTTAATTTCTCTTTCTTCTATCTTGTTGTTGGTGTATAGGAATGCCACTGATTTCTGTGCATTGATTTTATATCCTGCCACTTTACTGAATTCCTGTATGAGTTCTAGCAATTTTGGGGTGGAGTCTTTTGGGTTTTCCACATAAAGTATCATATCATCTGCAAACAGTGAGAGTTTGACTTCTTCTTTGCCGATTCGGATGCCTTTTATTTCTTTCTGTTGTCTGATTGCTGTGGCTAGGACTTCTAATACTGTGTTGAATAGCAGTGGCGATAGTGGACATCCCTGCCACGTTCCTGACCTTAGGGGGAAAGCTCTCAGTTTTTCCCCATTGAGAATGATATTCGCTATGGGTTTTTCATAGATGGCTTTTATGATATTGAGGTATGTACCCTCTATCCCTACACTCTGAAGAGTTTTAATCAAGAAAGGATTCTGTACTTTGTCAAATGCTTTTTCTCATCTATTGAGAGGATCATATGGTTCTTGTTCTTTCTTTTATTAATGTATTGTATCACATGGATTGATTTGTGGATGTTTAACCAACCTTTCAGCCCAGGAATAAATCCCACTTAGTCGTGGTGAATAATCCTTTTAATGTACTGTTGGATCCTATTGGCTAGTATTTTGGTAAA